ACTATTCACAAGAATTAATATTTTATTTCTTTTTTTTTGTCTTGACATTAAATCAACAAATTATTCTATATCAAATCATGTTTGCTTTGAAATTTATACTTGAAGTTCATCAATTTCATTGACTAAAGCTTTACAAAAACAATAATACATGTACATACTATTATTACCAAATTATATTCAGAAGTTGTATACAAATAGTTGGGTAGTTTATCAGAGAACACTGAATAAAAATTCATTTAAAAAACATCGATCACATTTACATTTTTATAAATTCATTGCTGAAAGTCCGTAGCCAAGTTGAGATAACAAAAAAAGTACAAGATGGACTAACAATTAATCATATCAAATGTTCTGGAAACGATATTTTCTGTGTATAGCACGCATTACATACTGAACTTTTCTTGTGCAATCTCCCGACCAATCTTCCGAGGTTGCTTAAAAGTGAAAACGTTTTACTCCTAACCAACGACTTATTAGTTCTAAAGTGTGTTTTCAATATCAACATCATCTCTTCGCTCGTACAAGCCGCCATTTTCCAAGGACAGGTACTTTCATTTTCAATTTTTGGATAGGTCGTTCGTGTATCGTTTCGTACCGATATTTGAATGCTTGTATCGTAAACCGTATCTTGGAGGAAAATATCGATATGTATCGCTGTATCGGTATATCGTCCCACCCCTATTGATAAGCGATACATGTATGACTTTCAAATTTGACATGTACAGTAATTACTCATAAGAATTCAAGATGTTTCCTAGCATGCGATGATTTTTTTGCCCCTTGACGTGGATGTTTTACCTAATTTTCAAAATATTTAACTCCTAAAAGATGATTAGGCTACTGTGTAAAATGTAGGAGGAGTTTAAGGAAGAAAAGCGTGACAGACGGACGGACAGACATGAGTAACCTCATAAATTATATTATAATATAATAATATAAGGACTATTCATGTATTCAAATGAAGCAGATTATTTTTTTTCAAAAAATGTACATTAGAAGAAGAAAACATTTGCTGAGGCCTTCATTCCAACACTAAGATGCACCGACGACGTTTTATCAATAAAGACCCAGGTAGCACAAAACATTTTATTGGAGTTGTAAAAAGGTTTTTTCGAAACATTTCAGACTAAACATTTTAAAAACATTTTAAAAACATTTCCTCTTCTCTTTATAAAATTTTAAAACATTTTTAAAATGTTTTCAAGAAGCTTATGATTAAATCTTGGAATATCTTTCTAAAATATTTTTGAAACTTTTTCAAAATGTTTCAAAAGGTATGTTTAGCTTTCAAATATCAAAGATTTTTATATTACGTTTTAAAAACGTTCTTAAAACATAATATGAAACATTCCTTTTCCTTTAAGGAACATTTTTCTTACAATTATTCTAAGGGTATGTATAGCTTCCAAATATTAAAGATCTTATAAAACGTTTTAAAAACGTTCTTAAAACATGAAATGAAACATTCTTTTTCTGTAAAACGGAAACATTGCCTAAACGTTTCTGAAAAAAAATGTAATGAACATTTTAAAAATATTTTTAAAACATTTTTAATATCACTGTTAGTTATAAACATTAAATTCCGGATTTTTTGAAAATGTTTTTTTTAAAACATTAACTAAAATAATTATTTTCACTACAATTGAAACATTTTAATTATAGTTTTTGTAACATTTTTTGGAAACATTTTCAAAATGTTTCTGAAACATTTATGTAATTGCAGCACAATTTAATTCATTTATTAACTTTAAGAGTATGTTGTGAGAATAATTTTAGAACATTCAATTTAATGTGTTTTCCTGTTTTAAAGACTTCATTTTTCATTGAGCCTGCAACATTTTTTAATGTTATTTTCAAAATGTTCTTAAAACATTCAAATAATGTATGATTGCATATTTTCCTAAAATTTAGTTTATGAAGAAAAAAAAGAATATATAGAAAGAATAGTGTTAAAATGAGGAATTGTAGTATTTTTTTAATTGAAAGATTTTTTCCGGTATTTTATAATGATTTCTAGTTTTGGATTATTGATTAAACAGACATTTATAAAGTTCTTTAATTAAAAAAATCAAAAGATCAATAAATGAAAGGATATAGGCAAACACAAAGTTTAAAATAAAAATAAATGTAAAAAATCATAAGCATTTGATAAAACTCTTAATGTTTCTTTTAGAAACTTTTCTTCATCAAATCTGTGATCCACTCCCAGGATTTTACTCTGAGGCATTAGACAGGGATTGGCACACTGGTCAGTTTCAGTGTCATGATAGCCTATTATGCAATTTTCCTGCTGGGCAGCGCGTTACAGAGTATAGTGGATTGCAGCTTATCTAGGCCAAATTTTGAATTCTGGTAAACAAGATGTGCGCGCTTACTCCGTGCCGATTTGAATGAGAAGATTTTGCACCATAAAACCACAATAAAAAACTCGGGATTTATTAACTTTGAATGGTAAGAATTATTCCTTTATCATTGACTTTAAAAGATCATTTAAAAATGACTTTTATACTACCAGTGCATGATCAATAACTTTGTACAAATGTATGTAGCATATGCATTTGATTTGAATATTTCATTCTCAAGTCAACACAATTATATCCTTGCTTCAAGTATTCGTTGTCTTTGTAAAATGTTTTAAAATCATCAAACAATATGTTGATTTAAAAATGAAATTTCTTTACAGCATGGTGTTGATTGCATCATCCGTATTTTCAAATTCCCACATTCAAAAGACCCGCCTTTGGTGAAGGCAAAGGTGTACGTAAGTTTACTATTACTCTTCAATAATATTGTCATAGTAATTACTTTTCTGCTTCTTTCAATGCAAATAAGGAAAGAACTTGAATTTGATATAATTATTTAAAATATTTTTTGTATATTTTCATTGATCATCTTAAGATACAGTTATAGATGTAGAACGCTGATACAAACACAATTTTCCTTATCTTTACAGGTTGTGCTATTCTTTCCGAGGGGCGGATTCCTTATCAGCTTTTTCAGTGTATGTGATAGGGGTGGGACGATACACACATCTTGCGATACGATACGTATCTCGATATATTGGCACGATACGATACGTATCTCGATATTATGAGAAATTATAAAACTTTTCAAAAGAATTAGTATTTTATTTCTTTTTTTTGTCTTGACATTAAATCAACAAATTATTCTATATCAAATCATGTTTGCTTTGAAATTTATACTTGAAGTTCATCAATTTCATTGACTAAAGCTTTACAAAAACAATAATACATGTACATACTATTATTACCAAATTATATTCAGAAGTTGTATACAAATAGTTGGGTAGTTTATCAGAGAACACTGAATAAAAATTCATTTAAAAAACATCGATCACATTTACATTTTTATAAATTCATTGCTGAAAGTCCGTAGCCAAGTTGAGATAACAAAAAAAGTACAAGATGGACTAACAATTAATCATATCAAATGTTCTGGAAACGATATTTTCTGTGTATAGCACGCATTACATACTGAACTTTTCTTGTGCAATCTCCCGACCAATCTTCCGAGGTTGCTTAAAAGTGAAAACGTTTTACTCCTAACCAACGACTTATTAGTTCTAAAGTGTGTTTTCAATATCAACATCATCTCTTCGCTCGTACAAGCCGCCATTTTCCAAGGACAGGTACTTTCATTTTCAATTTTTGGATAGGTCGTTCGTGTATCGTTTCGTACCGATATTTGAATGCTTGTATCGTAAACCGTATCTTGGAGGAAAATATCGATATGTATCGCTGTATCGGTATATCGTCCCACCCCTATAATTTATTTTGTACACTTTTTTTGGTTCATTTTCTGTGTTGAAATTTCTGTTTATTTGTTCTTTAACGAGGCCCAATCTACTTGAACTGCGCATACGTTTTAACGCAGCGTCGACTCAGGCACGTCATAGTACCCTTGACTGCCGTCACAATTGAACACAATAACGTCACAATTAAAATGACGTCAAATTGCGCTAAAATGCTTCGCTGATCTTGCATACCTGGTAGCTCTATAGAATGTACATGTAGAAAGCTGGTATTTCCATAATTTACATGTTTTTTAAAAATATTTTTTAATTAATAAACAACTTTGGATCATGATTTATTATGAGGTATCAATTTCTTGGTACATATGCATTAATTTTACCTTTTTATTTCAATTTGTGAGTTAAAAAAACAAACACTACAACCAAAAGTAAACGATTTTAGTCTTTCTCCTTGAATGTGTTGAAGTGTTTATACACACCCTTTTTTATTGAGGACTTAAATATGCATGGGTTAGATTGAGTTAAAATAAATCAGTCTATGAATCATCTAAATGCAACCCCCGATATATATATTTTTTTCTATATACATGATATTAGTAAAATTCGTCATTTGTTGCCTTTACCCCCCTCCCTTTTCCCACGTATAACAATGTCGTGTTTTAAGAAAAAAATAAAGCATGGAGAGAAAATTATTTCAGAATGTAAGAATTATTTAGTTTTTAGAAACTAATACAGTATTGCAGTTGTTTGTTGATGTTATGTTAATCCACGGCGACTTATTTCATATATAGTCGGATAAAATAAATCCTAATTTTGTGTTTTGAAATGCGCCCTTTTCACAGCAATAAAGGCTACCTCCAATTTTCTTTTCATTTTTTATGAGAAGAATGAAAATTGCATGAAATATGTGAAAAACAAAACATTTCATCCTGTATTTTTTTTTATTTTCAATTTCTTTGTTTTTTGGAGAGTTTTACTTTGTAATTTTGTATAAAAACACGAAAAATGGTCTATATCTTGACAGTGTCCCCATTTGACTACAATAAAGGCAAGGTAACAAAATTTCATTCTAATTTTTCTTAGCATAATACATACAAAAATATTTCCAAAAATTAAAATTTTTTATCATTTCGTTTTCGTAATTTTCAACTAGATCGGGCCTCGTTAATATTTGTTTTTAAAAAAAATTGTTCTCTTAATTTGTTTTAGGTTAATCCGGTTTTATAACTCACATCCTCACATCATTATACTTGCTATCTGTATTAGGACATAAGAAGATTCCTCATGAGTCTCTCCCGAGGTTTTCAAAGATATGCTTTCATTAGGAACAAAGAGAGGTCTTGGGTCCTATTCAAAGTTTAATTTATAAGTCCTTCTAAAATATTTTCACTTGCACAATGTAAATGATAGACAAATAAATTCAGGATTTTGTCTAATGTTTTAAAATAAGCGAATGTATTTATAGATCTAGATAAACGTCTTTTAGGGATGACAATATTATCCCATCAAATGGTGGTGGGGCTTTTGAACTATGACTCTTTTGAATCTTTTTTACCTCTGATTATTTTTTTAAAAACCTAAAATTCAAAAAAACATCATAGATAAAAAAAATGAATAAATATATTTAAACAGAAGAACTTTGAACGTTCTAAAGACCCTTACCGGGCTCACTAGTAAAAGAACTTGATGTCCTCTCCATTGAGAATGTAATAAATCTGTTTCATCAATTTTTACAATGTCAAGAGCATGATGTTATTCTTGTCTAGTAAAGAAAAAAAATAGTATATTCTGCATTATAATAACCACGTCACAATCTTCAACTTCTATTAAATTTATGTTAATCTCCAATTTTCTAAATAAATTAAGAATTACTTTCGTTTTGGTATCATTCCGGAAGTAGGCCTTTTGAGGCAAGTGCCAAGTCTAGTTCGGCAAAATCCGAAATAGCGTCACCTCAGAAGCATGAATTTATTTGTGACGTCGTAGACTATGTCAAATTATATGTACAATTATTTTTTTCATTGGATTAATAAATTGTTTGTATGAAAACATTACAAACTTACTTTTCGACGCAGTTAAGTGGGTCACAATTTAAATTCGTCAGATGGGAGATATAGATATGGAACGCCTCAACTGCCTTACATGTTTGTGGATACCTTGCTTTATAAGCTGATACTACAAAATTTGATGCTGATACTTTGACATTATATGCTATCACTTTAATATTAGGTACTGATACTTCACGACGGGACTTCAATACAGGTCCTTGAACGACCTTGAAATTGTCAGTTTTCTCCGATTCTTACACTAGAACTGTGCCTAAGATCGCCCCTGTGAGTAAGTGTTTAGGACGCTATAAAAATTTCGGGAAAGTTTATTGATCAAACTCACAAACCTCTCTCACTGAGAGTCGAAGCAAAAATATTCATGTGAGGACAACATTAATTACATAATATAATCTCACATGACAATATAGAGTAATCACATTATCGCTTAATATCAAACATCAAAATAATGACATTAAAGGCACGCCATACTCCAACAAAATACAAATGCACATTTCAAACAATGAAAAAAGGCGTGAGCATCTGTAACAACATCAAAGCATTATGTATTATAATTATTTACATGATAAATGACAACTATACACAGTATACCCACTCTTTAGGGCACAAACACCAAATTATAGATCAAAGTTTTGCAGGAATCAAAGTACTGTGAGTACTGAAAGACAGTGGCATGATTGATTTTCTTTGTTTTACGTCCATTTCGAGAATAAAATTTTGAGCAGCGAGGGATATTTATCTGGCTAGCAATTACTGCGACACGGGATCTCAATCTGACTTAAGGGTCGATATCCATGTTCCTCAGTGGGAGTCAAATCCGCAACGTAAGGATGGATTCCTTCCGGTCCGTGACTCCAGGAGCAAACCCGCTACGTCAAATGGCGACTGGCATTAAATAAGATAAAATGGTGTAAGAATTTGTAAAATGATATGGAAATTGTAAAAGTTTATTTCAATTTTCACAATGCATATAAATGTATTTTAAAATATAAATTTATATTTTTGTACTGAAAGGTAAAATGTTATGAATTCTCACTGTGATCTAAAATTTTTACATTTTTCATCACGAAAAATAGCAAACATCAGATAGATATATGCATAAATAAAAAATTATAAGATTTTATATAATGTGTTGTGTCACCTTACGAAACACAGATAATTGGGTCTAATATCAAAGTGTCTAAACCAGCGCCACGTTTCCTCATTCCTAAAAACAAGTTGGATAACTCCCGCTAAAATTAAGGAATTTCTTTGATGCACATAATTAAGTTTCCCTTAATTCTTCAAATAATAGTCAGTGACCAATCTCGCGCATAAATTGGACCTTGATAAGATATATTAGTATAAAAGTTATGGACACTATTTTTTACATTCAATTGCATACGGAGTGTATATATATCTCAGTTGATTCGATACGCAAGAGCATGCTCTACGTACGAACGATTTCTAAAACGAGGTAAATTATTAAGAAGCAAATTGATGAAACAAGAATATCAACAGTCTTGTTTAAAGTCACCATTTCGTAAATTCTGTGGTCGATACTATGACCTTGTCAGCAAATACAATTTATCCTTGAGACAAATGCTGACTGACGTTTTTCATACTAATTATTAGTCCATTTTTTATACACTGAATTGACGACGGATTTTTCCGTGATTTCCCGATAATGGCAAGGAGCACACGGCGGGTGTGACCGGTCAGCAAGGAAATCTCACTCCTCCACGGCACCTGCCCCTACCTCTGATGTTTCGGAGGTCCGTGTTTGCTCTGCTCCTATTTTGTATTGTTTTATGGACTTTGATATTGAATACTGTTCGTTATCTACATGCACATCCTTCCCTCAAATAAATAGTATCTTATATATTGGCCGTCAACATTGACATCGTCTTTCGCTATTCCTACAGCTGTTTGTTCTACATGTGGATTTGTTTAAAACGAATTCGCAAAAAAAATATCATTTCCCTTGTACAATAAAGATTAAAAACTGAACTGCTTTCCAGTGCGTTGCCAATTTTAATGAGTTGTTGTTACCACTTTCCCATTTCGGATGCTTGGTAAATTGCCAAAAATCCAACAGATGACACAAGAAATAGTGAATAAAAAATAGTATAATGTTTACAAAAATCTATCGAATGCTTTTATTTCGAAATAATTCTCGTGTATTATATAAAAAAAATTATCGTGTGTATGTACATTAAAACATGTTTATGAAATTTTAACTTTTCTCTATATTTTATGAAAAATAAGATACACTTAAATATGATAAATAAATACTTGTAGGAGGTGGAGATCACGAACAATATTCAATCTCAAAGTCCATAAAGCAATACAAAACAGGAGCAGAGCAAACACGGATCTTCATAACATCATATGTGGGATCAGGCGCAATGGAGAAGTGTGCATCCCCTGCTGACCGGTCACACCCGCCGTGTGCTCCTTGTCAAAATTCAATCTTACAGCGCCTGTTATTTTCCGATAAAAACGCGTTGTGCACGATTTTAACGGACAACCCTGGTATACTGCTTGTAAAAAGAGAGAGAAAAACAGAAAAACAAAATATTTTTTGCCTCTTTTTCCTGTCGTTTCATTCATATGCCGGTGGGAAGTTGCACTCGGCACTCAGGGCCATTGAGCAGGGACAGATCTTTTAATGCCAGCACCTACTGCGACACAGGACCCCGGTCTATACGGTCTCATCCGTCTCCACGTCCCACAGTGGGATACAAAGCCGTATGGATCAACTCCTTACTTCGCGACTCTAAAGCAAATGCTCTAACCACTGCGCCTCGCCTCTTTTTGAAATTGAAAAGTAAAGTTGAAAGCCACACTAAAAGTTTCTTCTTTCCCTTAAAAAGTTTTTTAATCAATCGAATTAATTCTTCTGCACATGAATACGAAAATAGTTATGATTATAACGAGACACAATTGGTATCCATGGGATAGATCGATAGATTTTTGGAGGACCTGACAATACTAATCAGAAACTCAAGTAATTTCAGAGCACTTATATTATGTTACCAACATGGATTAATTTAGGTTTGGGGGAAACTACTTTTTCTGAAGAAATTGGGGAAAATCGCCCAGTGATCTGGGGGCACTCCAGACACCAAGTGGATGCAGGGCGAGACCTGTCGGGGGGAGGGGTAGGCAATTGTATGTCAGAATTTTTACAACCATTTGAATTGCATAAAATGTAAAACCATATTTCATTTATTCTGAAATATTTTACCTCGTTTCCGGTTTTTATAAAGGAAAAAAGTATTTGAGATTTTTATTTTTGTAAAGGGATATTTTATCCATCAAAAGGAGGAAATGGGAAAGCCAGTGGAACTTTTCTCTAGGGAAAAATACCCTACATCGGTAGTAAAAATGCCCTAGAGTAATCCTTGGATTCAATGAGAATGCTTTTATCAGAATAATTTGACAAATGACCAATGACAACGTAAGTAAACGTAGCTGTCAATGATTTCAACAAGCAAACTCGCATGGTCTTGAATTAATCATATGGGAATGGTTGTATTTAAAGTGTTAGAGGAATCCGGTATAGGTATGTAAATTAGAAATTCATTTTGATTTTTTGAGATTCATCATTGGTCATGTCCGTCACTTAATCCATTAATAAATTCATAAATGAATTACAGACTCGTGTCATGTGCTTAAAAAAAATGATTATTCTTGCGGGATCCCTCTCATGGAATTGACATAAAAAACACAGAATCTTTTTCTATAGAACTGTAAATCACGTTTTATTCTCGAAAACTTCATTTCGCGTAATTAAGCTAGGCAATGTGCTGTGCTCGCAAAGGATTATTTGTATTCCTTAAGAGTATATAGAGAAGTAACCATAATTTGTAAAAATATTGTCTCGCTACTAAAGAGTAAATATTTATCTTTCAAAACTACGATGTCGCGAAAATCAAATGATCTACAGTATTTAGCTTTTTTGGAAGCTCTAATATGAAGCTTTTGTTGGACAAGATTTTAGATTCTAGACTTATTACTCAATAGACATGAACATGAGTTTGATAATTATCAAAATATATTTAATTCAATAGTCTAATATGCAATATTAAGATTTATATTACACATCTATGAAATGGTTATTCAAAATAAATAGTAAATCATTCTGTGGGATTCGCTTTCAAATTTTAAATCTAGGATTGCCTATCCCCCATTGTGTTTTGGGGGCGTTTGCGGGATGTACATCTGAGCCTTTGTGTAAGTCGGTTCTGGACAGCAATCAGTCTCAGCTCTTGTCTGGAGGTGTAGCCGGTATAGCAATATGAGAGACTCTCCATTTTCACGTGTCTGGTCTCAAAAAGTTGCATGTCTTTAGAGGCCACAGAGAAATTTGTTTCTGTTGTATTTGCATTCTTGCATTCGTGAAGCCGTAGTTGTCGCAGCATTCGCTCAGGCCGAAGGATTGTTTCGGTCATGCAATCCATGTGACCTAGCTTCTGAACAATGGGCGTAAAGCTGTTGATGCCTTGCTGAACCAAAATGTTGTGCTCTGATGTTCTGGAGGCCATTGTTCGCTCTGCTCCTATTTTGGAATTGTTTTATGGACTTTCCTTCTTGACTTCTTTATCTCCATATTGCAATGGCCTGGGGTAGACTTTAATTAATTAGTTTTTTTTTTTTTATGTTTTATGTGTCAACATATATTGGGAATATTATCTGGGTGGATTTTATTGAATCAAATAAGAGCCTGACATTGCCATAATTGTACACAATTGTTGGAGTCATGGAAGTTGTTTACATCCCGCCGACATCTTATCTGTATTAGCCATAGTTTCGTATTTTACCAAACTTGTTATTCATGCTATATCACTGGTATAATAACTTGCTATTTATTATGTTAATTATCATTGTGTGGTCTACTGCTCATTTTAGTCATTATTATTCCCGATTACATGTGTCTACAACTTGCACTATATTTTTATCCACCCGCGATATCGTCTGCATACTCAGCAAGTTTACTTATGTGACATTTTCAAGTTTTAGAGAGAAATTGTTTACT